GCAAGTTCTTTGAGCAGGTCTATTTAGTAGAGCTACTTTAAATGCATCTATTTTGGCTTGCTCAATTGATTCTTTGCATTTACCTGCTGTCTTGGGAGATGGAAAAATACGAGCTCCAGCATGCATTATTCACACCGTATAACTGTCTGCCCCTCGTTCGGCGACACTTGGCGACACCGTGGCGCCATGTAACCGTTCATTTGTAAACACTCGACGCTTCCAATTTGCGGGAAAATTACCCAATTAACTTATTCAAAGCTACAGAAATTTACCAAGAACTCTTTAGAAATAGAATCCTTTGCCATATGCAACTCAATAAACATGCGTGAAGTCCTATGCAGGCAATCTACAAGAACACCGTAATTTACGGACATCTGCTCCCGGGTAGGCCCAGCGCTTTGCCATTCGTCACCACTCAGCCACTGCCCCAACTATTGAAGGCACAAGGCGCAGCTCAAATGCGACTGACGATGGCCAAGCCGAATTGAAGCGACTAGCCTCCCTGGTATACGCCGGCCCAACCCTCCGAAACGTCTCTCGATGTCAATCCTAGGATTCCCTCTCTCCCACATACGTGATGTTTCTCGTCATAGATATCGAACTGCCCGGAAATAAAACTGGTGGTTTCATAGACTGTTCGTGAGCTCGCAGGCGTGCTGAGATTCGGTGCTTGATTTTCGTTGTTTCTTCCCCTCGGCATTTCATTCATACCCCTCCAAACCAGGTCAAACCACATCATGATCCTCGGCCCCGTCACTCTCCTAGACTGCCTCGTCTTCCTCATCTTCCTGGCACCCCAGCTCCTCATCCAAGTAGGCCTCTTCCAAACCGTCCACGTCGCCGCCAAGGCGCTCCCCTTCCTGAGTAAGTCCGAACCATCTCCCATCCACCTCCCCTCCTCGTATAGATACTGACCCTATGTTCCCGAAACCAGTCTTCCAGCTCCCCGTGCAGCTGATCCAGGAGCGCTACTACACGCCCACGTCCCTGAAGCCGGGGTTCGTGCAGACGGCCACGCTCTTCGAGGACCTCGTGGTGCGGTGCGTCCGCTACGCCTTCCAGTCCATCCCCTCGAGCGTCAGCCGCGTCTTCTTCGACAAATGGGTCGCCCTGCCCTTCCTGCGCTGGCGCATGCTGAGGCACGGATACGTCAGGAGCCCGGTGTACTGGAAGGAGGAGCGGCATGGGCATGTGAGTCTGAAGTTTAACCCCCTCTCTCCTCATGCACGGTGAAAGTGATTGGTGGTGTAGCGGTAAAGGCTGACAAGTTACACAGGGAAATGAGAGCTTCAGCGGCCTGTGGATCAAACATAGGCCAGAGCATCCTCCCGATTTGGTCCTCTACTACATTCATGGTATGGGCAGAGTGTACTTCCTTCTAAGGATCAGACTGACATGCGGCTAGGGGGTGGGTTTTCCCTCGGATCGGCTGCGTTCTACCTTGAGTTCCTCCTCGCCTGGCACCATCTGCTTGTTGAGGCGGGGTACCGGAACCCGGCGATCTTCGCCCTCGACTACACTTTGGTCCCGGATGATGTTTATCCCAGGCAGCTCAATGAGGTAACCTCGGGCTACAAGCTGGTATTGAAGACGGCCGGCGACCCCTCCAAGGTGTGCGTGGCCGGGGACTCCGCAGGCGGAGCGTTGGTCTTGAGCCTCCTGCAGGAACTTGGCGCGCAGCGTGGCAAGAAGGAGGATGCTACTGCAGGAACACCGTCGTCTAATGGGCGACGACTGCCCCAGGGATCGTCTACGATATTGCCCCTCCCGCAACTGGCTACGCTCATCTCACCCTGGGTGACACTCATGACTCACCTGCACAGTCCGTCGCCGACAGACTTCCTCAACCGGGAGTCGCTGTGGAAGTACGCCCACGAGTACGCGGGCGAAGCGATGATTCACCAGCACCCCGCGTCCCCGGGGTCGTGCGTGGACGGAGACGTTTGGAGGGCGGCAAGCCCGGGAGGGGGCTACTACGTCATCTACGGGGAGGATGAAGTGTTTGCGCCGAACATTGAGGACTTTGTCAGGCAGCAAACCAAGATGGGCGTCGAGATTGGGAGCCTCAACATCCCGGCGGGGATCCATGCATGGCCGGTGGTATCCTTGTTCCTATCAAGCTACACGGAGAGGAGATTGGCGGGCCTGCAGACGCTTGTTAGAGAGGTGAAGCAGCGGATGTCGGGCAAGGTAGAGGAGAAGGACATGGGGGACAAGTCAGATTAGATCAAGTTTCAAAAAATTTAGTCATTGAATAGCCCTTTGCGAGCGGTTCGATGAGACCCTTAGATGATGCATGCACCAGAGCTCGGTTTTCATCGCTCCGCCCAGGCCAACTCCAAGTTTATAAAGCTCATTGAATTTCTATCATCAGGAAAGGTGATGGATGAAGGGGTCAAAAAAGCACGCAAGGCAAATGACAGTACCTTTCAAGGGTCAGTGGATGGGATCGTCGTCGCCTTGCTTGAGTTTAATGTTGCTGATGCCTGCCGACCTGAAGCCCGCAGGAGCACGCCAAAGTTTGATGGCGGCGCAACACGTAGCCTTTTGGCCCTGCTACCAGAAGCAAACATCAAATCAAACGGCAGGTGAATTAATGAAACATTTCAAAGGGCGCACACGAGTGAGTGTCGATAAACTGGCAGCGAGCCATGGCTGGGGCGGCAGCGTGGGTGCGTTGCCAGCGGCAAGGGAAAGGAAGGGAAGGGAAGTGAGGTGCAGGAGAAGACTCTTCGGCATTGATCCAGCTGTTCCAGAAATGTTCTCACCTTCGACTTGAGGTAGCTTTGGGAGGGGCGTGTACGAGAGAGATGCTGATGAGTCATCACTGCCCGTTTAATTTTAGGCACAGTCGTGAACTTTATGGATGGCGACGCTTGAGGCAAGAGACGTGCAGATGGATGCAAGCCCTGATTTAATGCTGCTTGGCCTGCATTAGCTGATCCGCGTCAGCTCTCATGTAATATCGTTAAGCCTGGAGCCGCAATAGAACTTGACGGCATGAATCGGGCGAGGCGGCCATCCGCTGCTGCAAGTGAGCACCGAAGCGAAGAACGCCCATCATCTGTGGCCAATGGCTGGCTGGGCTGATGAGCTGGCACCTCAGGCATGCAGCTCAGCTCTCGGTACGGTACTGAAACGATGTGGGCAGTGTAGGATGTGTGCATGCCGGCGTCTGCCAGAGTGTATCGCCGGCTGGCTGCCTGTTTGCTGCCTTCCGTTCAGCCTCTCCAACACGCCCCCATCTGCAACGGCAGCCTGTGCAGATTACATGCTACCTCGTCCGCCCATACAGACCACGCCCAGCAGCAGGTCAAAGCCAAACGCGTGCCCGCCGCTTGTTGATGGACAGACCCCCCTGCCCGATCGGGACAGGTCGCGTCTCCGAGGTGGGAGGCAAAATCGTCGCGGCAGCTTATTGGGTCCCTGGTGATTGACGACCGCTAGCAACTGGCCGCGCATATAAACGTCCCGTCATCCCACCCGCTTTGGTCGGCCGTCGCTGAGGGGAAAGCTCCCTAGTCGAAGCTCGTCGTCGTCATTGTCTCCCATCGACAAGGCCCCCATTACTCAGCCTCCCCCCGTCCAATCGGCAGCCAGCCCTTGCCCTCTTGCTGGTCCTTTTTTACGCTCCCGAGTCTGTTATACCCCTCCCCTCCCCTAGCGAGGAAGAATACACGAGGAGTAGCAGGCAAGCTCGCTGTGACTGGTCGCTCGGTGTTGAGTGAACCAGCCTGCCATACCGCGCATTTCTGCTGCCATTCGCCCGGCGTCTGTGGCCTGGTCTGTGCTCGGCATCGAAGAAAGCTTGGCACACGCCCTTGTTCGGTGCTTGCATCATCTGTCCGTTGATTGATTGATTGCATTTGCGAGCTAGTCACACGGCGCGGGAGGAAGGACAGAAGAACCGTTTGGTCTGGAAAGACAGTGATATTGAGATTGAGATCAGCTCAAAGAAAGGAACATACCAGGCAACGCGTTGTGCTCCGCGTCTGCCTCCTGACACAGGTACGACCTGTCCTGTGCAAGACTTGGTCTGGTACCTTGATCTATTTCATCGAGCATACCTAGCACCTACATACAGATTCAAGTCCCAGGACGCCTCTCTCTCGCCGTTACAAGGCACCTATCTGCATGTACCTACGTTTCAGTCTGTACCCAGAGTAGAGTGTCCTTGTTGCAGTGAGCCAGGTAGAACAAGCACGCTGCCCCTCACCACCTGCATTCGCATCCCACATTCACCGCCCATTTCCATCTCTAGTGAAGTGGCATTGGGCGCATGTGCCGTGCTTGGTGGTTACCATTGCCTGCACCTTCTCAGCATTGACTCCGGACCAGAACATCCAGGACGAAGCCAGTCGAGTATTAGTAGAGACTGCACCTTCCTCTCCTGCACCTCCCTATCTTACCAACTACTACAATTACCTACCCATCCTTGCCCTGTCTGCCACCACGTTGTCGGACCACACCGTCTCTGTGAGCATCAAGCTGCATCTGCCTGTTCTCCTGTGGCTTCTGCAAGTCACGGCGCACCGTCCGATCTATTCCAGAAGCAGGGAAAGAAGTCGAGAAGAAGAAAAAGTGGCCCCTGGCTGCTTTGTTTGTCTGCTAGGTGGATATCATCACATCAATCCATCCCCCTTGCTCAACCACCGGGCTCCACCAATCCTGGGAGCATCCCTTGACCAGCCCCCGCCAGCAGCAAGAGAACGAAAGGCTGAGAGGAGAAGCAGCACGGGCTGCCTCTGCATTGTACTGAATCTGCTGTGGCACGGTCTGGAGTACCCCCTTGAGCGTCAATTCCTGGCATCACAGGCCCCCCAGCCAGGCCAAGGTGACCTTTTTGGGTTGATTAACCGCGTGTGGGAACGCGCCCCAGCCCCTCTTTATTGGTGCTTTATTTTTTAAAATCATTTTTTATTGTGCTAGGTATCGGCCTTGATCTGATTAGCCGCCCGGTAGGAGGATAAGAAGCCAGGCCAGCGCTGCGTCTCAGGACCATGTCGGCGGACGAATCCTCTTCCTACGCACCAAAGTCGCCGGATCTCTCAGCGCTCTTCTCGGCAGCCGCCCCCACCAACCAGCCCCCCGCCCCGCCGCCGTTCTCACTCAGTCAGAGCCAAAACTTTCATCAGGCCCATCACAACCAAAACCACCACCACCAACACCACCAGCCGTCCTACAATCCCCAACCCCAGCCGCACGCCTACAGCGTCAACTCGGCCTACGTGCGACCTACCGCAGACGTTTCTCCCATCACTCCACATCCGAATTACACAGAGAATATCGCCTACATTCCGGCGCACCACCCCCCCCAGCCCTATCTCCAGCAGGAGGCGCCTCCGCCGTCGCTTCTGCCGCAGCAGCGCCTACTCTCGCAGCTCCCGCAGCAGCTCCCGCCAACCTCGTACCCCAATCACACAGGTGCATACGGGCATCAGCATCAGCCTCGAAGCTTTGAGCCGACGCCATTGTATGCGCAGCCGCACTACCCAGAGCAGCCAACCCGCCCTCCCGTGACAGCCGAGCTTCACCACCTCCCACACGCCACCGCTGTACCCGTGGGCGCCCCTCCGCAGCAGCAGGCACTGCACCTCCAGACACAGATGCCTCCACGAAGGGCAGCAGCGGCCGCGGCCGTCATCGAAGAGCCCGTCATCGAGCCGTCTCCCGTGCGGACAAAGTTCCCCACGGCTAGGATAAAGCGGATCATGCAGGCCGACGAGGAGGTGGGCAAGGTCGCCCAGCAGACCCCCATCGCCGTCGGCAAGGCCCTCGAGCTCTTCATGGTCCAGCTCGTCAGCACGAGCGCCGACATCGCCAAGGACAAGGGCTCTAAGCGCGTCACCGCGTCCATGCTCAAGCAGGTCGTGGAGAGGGATGACCAGTGGGACTTCCTCCGCGAGATCGTCGGCAAGGTAGAGAATGAGAAGGAGGGCAAACCCAAGCAGACCAAGGGCGAGAGCGAGAGCGACGAGGACGCGTACGAGCCCAAGAAGAAAGGTCGGGGCGGTCGCAAGAAGAAGGGGTCGGTTTAAAGATAGCAAAAGGAAGGGGATATGGGCCTGGTTTTTTTCTTTTTTTACAATATTTCATGTTTCTGCAGGGCGCATGGTGTGGATTAGAGGCGGGAAGGGCTGATTATTCGACGGAAACCACCACATGGAGTCGACATCACGGCGTTGTGCAATGAATTGAAGGGAATTTTTCTTATTACACATATATTAGCAGCATTGTTGTGGCGTTCTGGCTGGTCATTTGTCCCTGTATTTGGACTTCCCCCATTTGATCAGGGAGGTTGGACATTCTGGTGCGAAGATGGCCATCTGGGAATTGCATTGTAGATTGAACCGATGGTGGTTCTGGGAGGCTTCCGGGCCGAAGATGCTGGGGAGGCGGGAAAATCCTTGCCCGGAATATATCAACGCTGCTACATGCGGTGCTTTACTCTTCATTCTATTGTGCTGGTTCATGGACCTTTTTGAAAAGTGATGCCATTGTGGTCTTGATTTGCAAGTTTTCACTCAATTGTTACTGACTCTCACCTGTCCCTCATCAGCAGCGGCATCCACTTGCCTAAGTTGGCTGGTGATCCCGACGAGACGAGGAAAAAAGAGGGTGAATCCTTGCGCAATGTAAGGAATTGGCCATGAAGTTGAGGTAGCATTCTCATACGTGACGTGATGTAAAAGAATATAAACCGATGACGCATCAAGGGGCAGTCATTTGATGAGGCCTCTTCCAGCCAAGCTCACAGCATCAAGAACCTTCTCCATCCCCCCTCAACTCCTATTCACCCAGGGAAAGAGAAAAAAGGGCCGCCACGCACCGCTTCTTCTTGGCGTCAAAATTGGTATGCATGGGAGATTGGGACTGGCATTCTCCCAGCGGCATCGTTGGGACCTCAATGGTTCGCTCGTCCCCTAATGAAATATCCCGAGTGAATCCCGTGGACCCTGTGGAGCAGGTGTGGTGGGGACTGGACCGCCTAAAATAAAGAGCTGTAGCAGCTGAGCAGCGCCTAGCAGCACGTTCCGTCGCTCTAGCCTCTGGGGTCCTCCTGAAGCTTAACGGCCTCTCAGAGGAGTCGCCGCTGTAGGACCCCTTAGAAGGGACCTGACCTACCCTGATCTAATGGTTCAGAGCCATTGACCCTCCACGAGCTGCTGTTCGCTCACCGTCTGGGAATGAAATTACGAATCGACGGAGTAATAGCGGCAGCAACCTAAAACGAAAACCCATTTCATCTGAACACATCTCGCGTCCACCAGCGATATCCCGCCCCTATCGACCGTCTGCACCTCCACGGCGGCTCATCTGGCCACCGCTGCGTTGACTCGACCCCTCCTCCCCAGCCGTTCCTCGTCGCCATGTTCCATCTGATTCCCGTTGCTCCACTATCCCACCCGACCTCCTAGATGACGGACTACTACCGCCTCCGCCGCCGCCGTCACCACCAACCCAGACCTTGAATATCGATCCTCGTCCTGACTCCGACCCCGTCTCTTCTTCCCGCCCCCCCGTCTACCGTCCTCCCGCTGCGGCGCGCACAGGTAGCCCAATGTCGTGGGACTTGCTGCAACGATTCATCGAATCCGACGTCTTCAATTCGAATCCCTTCCTCCCCGTCTCCTATCTTTCGTGAGTCCCTCTCCCAAGCTCCGACCGCCTCGCTCCATGCTCCAGGCCGCCGCTCGTCGCACCGCCTGGGCTGCTGCATCGCAATCCCCGTGAACTGCCAAGGTCGCTAATTGGGAACTCTCCTTGCCCGTAGCCGCTATGCCGACCATGTGGGCATTCACTATGTCCTCTGCAACAAGCTGCGACAGTTCCCCTACGAGGACATCGAATTCTTCCTCCCACAGCTCTGCCATCTTATAATAAGCGTTGACAATGAGTCAATGGCCCTGGAGGAGTTCCTGCTGGACCTGTGCGAAGAATCAGTAACAGCTGCGCTTCTGGTGCGTTCTTGTCCGACCTCTTTCCTCTGTTCGCAAGCAGATGCTGTGCTTGCCAATCCCCCCGCGAAACAATGAGCTATAAACAGCGTGGATAAATCTAACTTAAGGTGACCATATCTTTCTATGGATGCAGACTTTCTGGCTGTTTCAGACTTATTTACACGACCTCTCCTCGAATCCGCAATCGAGCTCCTTCCAGATCTGCCGACGAGTGTACAACAAGGTCCAGCATATCGTTTTTGGCCTGGCCGATACCGCGCGACATGACCGAATCAAGGAAAATGTACTTCCCGTTACCGTCCTCTCCAGCTTCGTCCTCGCCAGCGTCGCCCTGCCAATGCTGCCGCAATGGGCTGGTCCTCTGGCCGTGGCACAGGCCCGAAAGCCTCAGCCCGCCGACAATGATCTCGACCTTGAGACGAAGGAGAAGGAGCCTGTCAATGTTAAGCCGACGAGGGCCCACACGGTCACGCCCACGAGCTCGCGGTCTCGACGAACTAAAGATCCTAACAGGACGACGAGCGCACCTGACGAGGGTGCATCGAGATCGAAAGCGAACCACTCACACACAAGCCCAAAATCCAAGGCGAACCGGGAACCCAAACCCGCCGTAGAGCGGGCTTCAACTATGGAGATGAAGTCCCTGGAGGCCAAGCTGAGCTCGTCTTCGCTCCCTCTCCCCTCGACCAAAACCGCTGCCAGCCGACCCGTGACGCCAGTGACCAAAGATTTGACCAAAGAATTGACCCAGCGCCCAGGGGACAGCATCCGCCGCAGACACTCGCACCAGACCAAACCTCCCCTTACCTCGAGCGATTTGTCATCCGAGCAAAAGGTGAGGCTCCTGAGGCAACATTACTTTAGGTCGCAGACGGCGTTCCTCACTGCCTTGGAGGGCATCTCGAACCGGTTGGTCGCCGTACCTAAACAGGCCCGCCTGAGCGCCTTGCGAGCCGAGCTCGCCCTCATCTCCCAGGACCTGCCGGCCGAGGTGGACATTCCCGTGATTTGCCCGCCTACGTTGGTGAATGGCTCCCCAGGGAAGAGCTGTCACCATAGAATCGTGCGCCTGAACCCTGCTGAGTCGACTGTGCTCAACAGTGCTGAGAAGGTGCCGTATCTCATGATGGCCGAGGTGCTCAGGGATGACTTCACTTTCAACCCCGATACTGCCGACAACCAGAGGTTGCTCACGAAACTCCTCAACCCGGAGACGAGCAACAAACGACTGTTTGACCTGACCTCAGATTCCCCCAGAATAACGGCTCAGGTTGCCCCGCCCCCGGAGCAGCCAGTTCTCGACAGCGTGTTTGAACCAACCTCTGGTGATCTGGGGAGCTCTGGCTACATCAAGTCTTACGTAGAGGAGCCGGTGCCTCCGCCCCCCAAATATGGTAAACCGCAGCCCAGCCAGTTGCGAATTCCCAGCGCTGCCGCCGTAGCGTCTATGAATTTGGAGCCGCTCACCCCGAGGAATTCAGGCCATTCGTCGACCAGATCGACCAGTCCTGGGCACTCCCGCAAGATGACGCTGAACCAGCCGCCACCCCGCACTGTGGCAGCCGATCAGCCAGATTTCTCGGCTCTGGCCACGCATATGCGAACGGCATCGCAGATGCTGGCCCAACTTGAGGCAACGAGCGGGAAGCGGCCCAAGCACGAGGTGGCCGCGATCCGAGCCAAGATTATCGCGAGCATGCAGAGCCTGGAGGAGCAGAGTTTTGAGATGGACGAGGGGCCTACTTTCGACACCATCATAGCCAAGAATTCAGCCTTGAACTCGCCAGTTGACAATCCTGATTTGGAGGAGGACAGCACCATTGACACGAATCTGAACGCGAGTGCCGGTCGGGAGCGCATGGAGAACGACATCAAGACTGGTGGTGTCCAGCGCCGGGGTGACCGCGATGATCCCAGTGCGGCTGTCTTTGGTGAAGCATGGGAGGCGAAAAAGGAGCGTATTCGCAAGGCGTCCCCGTACGGCTGGATGAAGAACTGGGATCTCGTTAGTGTGATTGTCAAGACGGGTGCCGACTTGCGACAGGAGGCGTTCGCCTGCCAGCTGATCAACGTGTGCCACAAGATTTGGGTTGATGCCGAGTCCGACGTGTGGATCAAACTTATGCGTATCTTGGTCACGGGAGAGTCGTCCGGCCTGGTTGAGACGATCACCAGCGGTGTCTCCCTGCATTCGTTGAAGCGATCTCTCACACTTGCGTCTATCGAGTCTGGTCAGAACCCCCGCCACCGCATCGCCACTCTCAAGGACCACTTCGTCAAGGCTTTTGGCCCAACGGACAGTGAGCCGCATAGAGCCGGCGTGGAGGCGTTCAAGCGGTCTTTGGCTGCCTACTCCATCTTCTCCTATGTGTTCCAGCTCAAGGACCGACACAACGGAAACGTGCTGATTGACAACGAAGGCCATATTGTTCACATCGACTTTGGTTTCATGCTCTCCAATTCTCCTGGCTCTGTTGGTTTTGAGGCGGCTCCTTTCAAGCTGACCCACGAGTATGTTGATGTTTTGGGTGGTTTGGGATCTCAGGATTATGATGACTACAAGAAGCTTTGCAAGCAAGCATTCCAAGGTATGTTGTCCTTTTAGTCTAGCACCTGCACGTGGCGGCAAAATCTAACAGATCGTGAATTAGCTTTACGACGATCCGCAGACAATATTATTGATCTCGTTGCCATTATGGGCCGGGACTCAAAGATGCCCTGCTTCAACGCGGGCGTGCTGCAGACCACAAACGCGTTGCGGCAACGCTTCCAGCTGCACCTCAGCGCCGACGAGGCGGAGAATTTCGTCGAAACGGATTTGATCGCCAAGTCCTTTGGTAGTTACTACACACGATTGTTCGTGGCCCCTATCCTATTTCGATGCGTATATTTGAGAACTAACCGCGACGCAGATATGACACTTTCCAGTATCGCACTCAGGGAATATACTAAGCCGGGCTTAAATGAGAATACATATATAACGTCCTGCGGGCATCTGAGGCCTCAATGGAAACGAGAAAAGAATAAAGACGGGCAGAAGGAAGAAACATATATACCCTCGTGTTGGGAACGTGAGACGATACGCATTGGTTGGATCTAAGCATCAGAGAAGGCGTTAAAAGGGGCGAGGGGGAAACTGCTAGAAGGACCGCACTTTTGAGAATCGAACAGCGGAAGAACGAAGTCTTCCGGGCTTTGTTTATAGTGTTACTGCTTAGGCTTATGGCACTTGGGGACTCGAATTTATCCATCTATGATCACATCGCTTCTTCTCTCCTCAATCTTAGCCATGGAATACACTGATGTGTAGCTGATGATGTATCTTTGTTGTTATATTAAGTAACGTGGATGAGCATCTACCTGATTGACCACCCCATCCTCAAATAACCCTATTCACCAGCCCCCTCTTCCTCAAAACCCCAGCTCCCCGATCCAGAAACCGCTCCTCGTCCTTGGCAATCACATCCCGATAGTACTCGTCCGCAAACGCCCCCTCCAGCACATCCCAGCTCGCGGCCTCAATCACCGCCGCGCCATCAAACCCGCCCAGCGGATCCCCCCCCTCATCCCCTTTCTCTTTCTTCTTCTCCGGGCCCAGCGGTGTTGCGGTAGCGTCGTTGAGCTGCGGTGTGGCGTGGACCTGCGTGTACCCCGTGATGCCGTGCCTCTCCATCCACGGCTTGACGAGGGGTCCGTGGACGTGGGACCAGTGGTGGTAGAACTCGTCGTGGGTGAGGGAGGGCTTCTTCTTGAGGAAGGCGATGCTGCAGATGCGGTTGGGCGTGCTGGTGCTGGTGCTGGTGCTGGTGTTGGTGTTGGTGTTGGTTGACATTGTGATCATGTGAGGTTGTTCACGATAATTCTAGGATTTTGATTGCGATTTAAAAGATGATTGGATGAATAGACTTTATTTGAGGCGTGAAACTACGAAATAGCCAAAAAGCAGTTGATTCATTTATCCTCGCCGTCTATCGGTGGCAGGAAAAAGGTTCGGAAAACAGCAACCGAGGACATGTCTCTTGTTATTGAACTGGTCGATCCATCACGGGAACAAAGCGGGACAATCTTGCATATAACGGGGTATATTTAGCTGAAATAGAGGGCATGCGTAATCTCTCTATCCCATGGGCATAACCTGGTTTCCTTTGTGCCGGTTCCAGTTCTCTGGTAGATGAAATAGAGGAGATATCTTCCTATTATTTCCCGACCTTAGGTTGCCCCTTGATGTTTTTTTCCTGTCTCATCCAGGCCGACCTCATACTTCAGGCCATGTATATCTTTCTCGCTCTCCCCATCCTGAACTGAAGCCCCATTGCCTCTCAATCTTGCCCACACCGGCTTCCTTTGTGATGAGGGATGCTTTGCCTCTCGCTGTTTCAAGTTCTTTGGTGGTGATATCCCCCCCCGCCCCCTCTCCTATTCTCGTTCCCTTTTTTTCTGTGCTTTCCAAAGTCAACACCGTTGATGCAGAATGAAAAAAAATGTGTTATCCCACTATGACCGCCCATGGTTTTTTCCCAATTTCCCTTCCAGCCGGACAGTATAAATACAAAACAAAGTAGGAGAAAGAAAAGAAGGCAGGCAACTAAGCCGGAGGGCTCCTCCAATATATGAGGAGGAGCATTATGCATAAAAAGAATGATGAGTGGATAAGTGAAGACGGAGACCGAAGATGATCCTCTCCTCTCGGAGCTGTTCGAATTCAAAAAAGACAACCGATGCGCAACATTGAAAAGCAGACAATGCGTTATGCGACGTGACGCAGAGAGGAATGCAAGGGAGAAGGCATTTTAGCCCCAGCGACCCCCTTCGCGCTCAGCCTCCAACCGCCTCATGCGCTCCTCTCCGTCACCACCGTCTACCGCCTCGCTGCGTCGGCTGCCCCTACGGCTCTTGCGACCACCGCCGTCGCCGCCGTCATCCTCACGGCCGCGCTTCGAACCTGCAAGTCCAGCCAGTCGAGTAATCCGCTGGGCTTCCTTGAGGAGTCGTTCTCGGTCTCGGGCCTCTCGCTCCAAGGTGTGGACGTCCTTGACAGGCATCGACTTGCCACCGCCGCTGGCCGAAGCTTGTGAGTTCTGACGGGAGGGATTATCGCCCCTGCCACGGATGTCGAAGCCCCGTGGGCCGCCAGGTCTCGGTTCTTTGTCGACTGGCGTCGATACGTCCGTTGAGCCTTTCCTGCTGGCGGCGCCGCTGTTGCTCTGCCGGTGATCGCGGTCGCTGTCACGGTCCCTAGTCCGCTCACGCTCCTTGCGGTCTTTCCGGTTGTCCTTGTCTCGAGCTCTGTCTCGGTCCCTTTCTCTCTCTCTGTCCTTGTCCCTCCGTCGTGAGTGATCATAGTCTCGGTCACGGTGGGATCTGTGACTAGACGACTTCTTTCTGTCATCGTCGCGATACTTATCCTTCTCTCGGTCTCTGCGTTTGTCATGGTCTCTGTCTCTACGACTACCTCTATGGCCACCGGACCGTTTAGAGTCGTCAGGCGATGCCGACCGAGATCGCTCTGAGGGCTTCTCCTCCTTGGGTCTCGAGGACGAGTTGTGCTCGGCGTCGTCGTCATACTTGCGGCTGCTTCGATGCTTCTTGCGGCGGTATCCGTCATTGTCATACTCATCGTCGGCCGAAGTGGAGCGATGGCGTCGCCGGCGCCGTGAGCTTTTGTGGCCGTGGCTTCGGCTGCGGCTCTTACTACCTGAGACAGTGTCAGAGGGCGAGCGCTCACGCTGTTCACGGCCGCGACCGCGGTCCTGCTCTGCGTCTTCATCGTCCCTATCGCGTCTGTCATATCCATTAGAGCGCTCTTTGCTGCGCTCACGGTCAAGGTCACGGTCACGATCCCGATCATTCTCACGCTCGCGGTCACGCTGAGGAGATCTACTTCTCGAACGGGCTCGCTCGGGAGCGGGACTTGCCTGCTGCTGATGCGAGGACGAGGGCCGCGGAGGGTTGTCTACCTGGTAGCCACGCGCCCGCAAGTTATGGAGGCTGGTATTAGGCAGACCTTGACGCATTGCCTTGGGACCTGTTGGCGCGTTGATCGGCACCTCAGGGACAGGCTGCACGGGACGATTTACCACACCAGGGCCACTGGATGAGGCGGCATCCTCTGCTGCACTAGCAGCCGTTTCACTGCCTGGAGCCTCACGAGATGCTACTCCATTGGGATCCTGGTTTCTGGCTTCAGAACTCACTCCACTTTGATTGGGATCTTGTCCTGGGCCAGAGCCCTCTGCAGCACCTTCGCTGCCTTCCTTAGCGCCCTCGGGACGAGCATCACGACCATACTCGTCGCCCTGTGGATTACTATCGCCAGCCTCATTCTGGTCCTGGGGGTTCTGGTTCCCCTGCTGCATATGCTGGCCTTGCTGAAGCTGCTGGTTGAAACCCGCGTGGCCATGCTGTTGCTGCTGCTGGAAACCACCACGGCCGTAGCCATAACCACCACCGCCATAAAGGCCACGACCTCGACCCCGACCACGTCCATAGTTGTTGCGGCGATAGTCATTGAATTGATGACCATAATTGCCTTGATTGTATCCTGTCTGGAATCCTGAGTTAAAATTCCCAAAGTCACCGGTTCCCATGCCAGGAACATTTTGATTGTAATTATTCTGGTCGAAATTCCACGCTTGTGTTCCGTTCCAGTTATTATTGGTGCCTTGGCCATACCCTCCTCCAAAGCCCCCCATGCCGTTCATGCCCATGCCTTGAAAGCCACCGTTCATGTACATGTTTTGCATCATCATGGGGTCCATGCCCATTCCTGGCATGCCTGTGAGAACCAAGTCATGTTAGCACTGCTCATCCGCAAGTTGGGAGACGGGGCTCAACCCTGCAGCTCACACGTACCCATCATATTGAAGTTCGACCCCATGCCATTCTGCATTGCCATCATCATCTGCATCTGCTGGTTGTAGTCGCCTCCTCCTTGCCCAAAGTTCATACTTGGGAATCCACCATTCATCGCATCTGCGTTGAAGTTTTGCTGCTCTTCGCCGTTTCCTTGCTCGCCGTCTCCCTCGCCTTCTTGGGTGGCTTCCTGATCATTGGGACCATCGTTTTCCTGACCTTGCCTCTCATCAGTCTGTGCGACTAGAGCAGAGTCGTTCTTGTTCGCTTGCTCGGTAGTCTCGGACTCGGCAGTCTGTTCGGTCTATACAAAGGAGTAGAAGTTAGTAAACAGTTCTGGGTGAATTTCATTAAAAAAGAAACAACAATCACATACCGAACCAGTTGGTTGAGCCAGCGCATTTTCTGACTCCTCCTTAGGCGCGGGGTCTCGCTGTTCGCTAGGCTGCGCTTCTCCGTTCGGCGCTTTGACGGCGCTGCTCTCAGGTACAGCCTGTTCTGACGAGGGTATCTGCGGCTTGGGAGCTTCAATCGGGGTCGGGGGCGCGGATTCCTTTGCCTCCTTGGCACGCTGAGCTTCTCGCTTCTTCTCAGCTGTGCGCAAAAAGACCTTGATCGTCGTTCGGAGCGATTTATTAGGATGGCAATCTTCGGCCGACAGTGGAGAGTGCTCGCAGACGGGGCATGACGAGGGCAGGTTGGACTGGCCTGGTAGAATGGTTAGCAAATGTGGCCGGCTCAAGAGAGGGCAGGCTCAAAACATACAGGTCTCGCAGATGGCCTGCTCGCAGCAAGGCAGCCGGAAGGCATTCACGGCGAGCTTGCTGCAGATGGCGCATCGCAGCTTGATTGGGATATCATCGGGTGCCAGTGAGCTGAAACTCGTGTTAGTCTGCGGTCTGGGAATCTCTCGAACGCGGGAAGCAATGGCGAACCTGATGAGCTCGGCCTGGGCCTCGGTGTTGGACGAAGCCATGTCGTCGGCACAACGCTAAGTCCTGCGAGGGCACTTCATGGGTGGTGGAAACCGTTGCTGTCTAATTATGCTGCTCGAGTCCTCGATCGCCAGAGAGATGTCGGGTGGAGATAGGCACGGCGGGAAGGGAATTAGAGATGATGTGATAGAATATTAGACGGCGACCTTGACACCACTGTCAAGAGGAGAAGACGACCTTGTAAAGCGCATGAGAACAAGGCGGCATTCATAGATGTAGGTAGAATGAATGAATGAATGATGAGGAGTTTGCAGTTGACGCGCCGCCAAAAAAGATAAGTGGGCCGCCCACTTCGACAAAGGAACTGCCGCCACAAAGTCCAGAAAGTGAGAGCTGACCAACGCCGCTGATTTGCTGGCTCGTGGCGGTAGCAGCGCGGTCACGTGCCACTTCTCTGACGCAGAGGCGGTACATGACATATGGCTGCCGACGAGCATTGGATCGTTTCAATATATTCAATCACATATTGGCCAGAAATCCGCCGGCTCACCTGCATCTACCACTTGGCAATTCTGGACTGGCCTCCCGGGAATGCCTGGTGACGAACCGTTGTGTGATGCCGTCATGACGACGGTACTTACGTGGGTGGGCTCGAGGCAGCAGTTTAAGCTCTACGAAAATAGCCAGAGGCCAGTATCGGGACCATTTAGGTTCAGATCATGCATTGAATTGTGTTCCTAGAACATTCTTAGATGCCTAGACGACCCATTAGCACCTGGGCAATCGCAAGCGTGGAACCAAATACGGCCTCTTAGAGTACCAAGCGAAGTGACACTTGCATTATGAATGCTATGATAGACAGACGACTGGCCAAACAAGAGAAATGAAAGGAATCACACCCCGTGGGAGGCTCAAAAACAAAAAGAATACTGAATCTTCTGCTGGAAACAAGATCCCCCGTATAGAGCCCTGGGGAGAGCCTTGCCCTCCCATCCGCAAAACACCCATATCATCGCAGTATAAACAAAAAGAGAAATTAAACAAGCCCATTTCCTTCTTCTAACAAGCACATGAATCCTTAGCCCCAGCATCCCGGTTTCCTCCCAAGTTCACCCTCTGTTCGTCACCTGCCCGGCTTGTTGCGTTGGCACCGCCGGTTCCGCGCGTGGTCTTCAGCGACGTCTCGGGGATTGCATTAGCAATCGCCGTAAATACCTCGGTAACGTTGTGTCCTGTCTTAGCACTGGTCTCGAAGAACAGTAAGCTCTCCTCCTCGGCGTATGTCTTGGCCTCCTCTGTTGAAATCTTGCGCGCATCTCCCGAGTCATCACCGTCGGTGCCATCAACGTCCGCCGGGGCAGCTTCAGTCGTCAAATCCAGCTTGTTTCCGACAAGAGCAATTACGATTCCGGGCGAGGCCTGTCGTTGCAGCTCGGCGACCCAGTGCTTGGCCTTGACGAGAGAGGTAGGCTTGGTAAGATCGTAAACGACGAGGGCGGCTTGGGCGTTGCGATAGTACATGGGTGCGAGAGAAGCAAATCGTTCTTGGCCTGCGGTATCCCAGATCTCAAACTTGATTGTGCGCGAGGGGAGGTTGCACTTTTGAGTCAAAAAGGCGGCTGCGCAGGAGTAAAGAGTTAGAACAGAGACGTTTCATGCAGCATCATGCTAACCAACGCATGGGAACAGCAAGCTACATACCACCGATAGTGGGTTCCTTGTTTTCTTGAAAGTCGTTGTTGACAAAGCGCAGCACGAGAGAAGACTGCAGACAACATGGTTAGTTTAATATCCGACCGAGAATACTGCAGAATGGCAAATGATTCCCACCTTTCCGACAGCGGCTTCGCCAAGCAGAACCAGCTTGACGCTGCTGCTGGGCTTGGGGGCATTTGCGGAATCAGACATGATTGCCTTCTTTTGTCCTTTGACAGAAGTAAAATGTGAAAATCACTTCAACACGGCCGCGATGCGAGTGGGGGTTCGAGGCGCTCGAGGTGAGGAATGTTGAGCAATTGGTGGATGTGACGGGATGCGACAAGATTTGGAGCCAACAGAGGCGAGAGCTGAAAGATGGTGCCTTGCAGCGAGTGACGTGTCGATGTGGTTCGGGTGAGCGCTGTGGTCGGATAGGAAGGGAAGCAAAGAGACCAGGATACTCTGGAGATCACGGCCAAGATGTTTGGGTGGCTAGGAAAATGGGGCCCTGTTGCTGCATGGATGAGGCAGAAGGTTAAGTTGAGCGAGGATATTGCTGGAAGCCAGGCAGTGGTAGTTACCTCAGGTACTTTGGGACGATGACGAAGGGCTCGTACGTAGACCGACAAAGAGCTGCAGCGCCTTCGGGAAGTGGAAGCCCCAGCCAGCTGCTGTAGGTCGATCGAAGGTACCAGTTACTACTAAAATCGCCTGAGAGATACCGTCCACGACTTGCCTACTGTCAAATGGGCATTATTAATTGCCTGTCACTCGGATTGATGGCAGATTCCCATGGCCGCCCAAGTACTGGTACTGGAGCCGGGCCTGGAGCTAAAAGTACCTAGTACCAGCCACCGGATCCCGTCATCACCCACTGATCGCTGCTGAAGTGAAGGTTGGGTTGAGCACAGCCACCTGAGGCAGGTGGGGCGCAGCTACAGCCCGGTGGAAGGTTGACCCTGGCCCGAGCTCTCACCGCCAAAATTTTCAATCCGGCAGAAAAGCACATGGTTGCGCCGCCAGCCCCACATTAAAATCATGGTGGGCAGCGACACAAGCGTTGACGGAAAAAAAAGTTGGTAGCATTCGACGATTAGCCAAGCCTATACGAGCGATCCATCGACGTCCATTCGCAAAGCCCGTTTGGTTTCTTTTCTTTGCAATTGCCCTTCCCCTGAATCGATCACTCATTTGTCAAAAGGGGGAAATTCATCGCTCAACGAACGTCTCCCAAGGCCGGCCAATTGTCGCAACCAGCCATGGGTTCCTCTGCACCAGCCAAGCGGAAACTCCTCGACGACAGCGACTCTGATTCCGACGATGGAGGTGCCCAGATCCAGGAGAGCGGGTTCAAGGTGAACGAGGAATACGCACGTCGATTCGAACACAACAAGAAGCGAGAGGAGCTGCACCGATGTAAGTTGGACGTTGCTGAACATCGTTGTTGGACAAGCTAACAATGCAACAGTGGAGGAAAAGTACAAGAAGGACGCCTCCCGTAAGAACGCCAACGATGAAGACGACGAATCTTCTACAGACGAGAGTGAAGACGAAGACGGCTTCCTCGCCACCGAAGACCTCGACGCACAAATCTCAGCTACCCTCCAGGCCATCAAGAACAAGGATCCCAGAGTCTATGACAAGGACGTGACGTTCTACAAGGAAGGAGATGTGGACGCAGCCCCCAAGAAGGAAAAGAAAGAGAAGCCAGTCTACCTAAAGGATTACCACCGTGAAAAGTTCATGCGTGGCGATGTCGGCGCCGACGACGACGATGAGGAGGCAGCTCCGGCAACCTTTGCGCAGGAACAGGATGAGCTGAAGAAGTCCATTGTATCGCAGATGCACAACGCCGACGCCGAGAATGAAGGCTCTGATTCAGATGGCGACGATTTCATGAAGCGCAAGGAACCAGCCAAGGTGGATGATAGCGGCGTCCACCCAGCGAGAGCTAAGAAAGTCAAGAAGCAGAAGGCCAAGGACCTCGACGTTGAGGGTGCCGACCGCGATCCGGAGACTTTCCTATCAAACTTCTTGTCAGCCAGAGCATGGCTGCCTGGCGACGATGGCGAGGCTAGGTGGAAGGCCTTCGAATCCGACGACGACGAGGAAGAGAACAAGGCCGACGAGTTTGAGCAGGCGTACAACATGCGATTCGAAGACCCCGAAAAGAGCAACGAGGTCCTCAAGTCGTATGCTCGAGACATCACAGCTGCGCGATCTGTGCGCCGTGAAGATAAGACAGGCAGAGCTCGTCGCCGAGAGCTCGAGAAGGAGCAAAAGGAGGCTGAGAAGAGGGAGAAGAGGGAGGACAAGGCCCGTCTGCGTAAGTTAAAACTCGAAGAGACGGAACAGAAGCTTCGCAAGGTCAGGCAAGCGGCTGGAGCCGTCGGCGCAGAACTCAAGGACGAGGACTGGATGAAGTTCCTCGACGATGCCTGGGAGAACGACAAGTGGGAAGAGGAGATGAGCAAGCGATTCGGCGAGGACTATTACGCAATGGACGATGCTGAAGCTCCAGCCTCTGACGAGGAGGGAGCCGAGGAGAAGAAGAGAAAACATCCCAAGAAGCCCAAGTGGGACGACGACATCGACATCAAGGACCTAGTGCCCGATTTCGATGACGAAGAGGCCCAACCAAAGATCACACTCTCCGATGACGAGGGCCAAGAACCCGAAGATGACAATAACGAGGGTGACGAGGGTGACGAACCCCCCGCCAAGAAGCGCAAGAGCGCCAAGGAGCAAAAACGAGAGCGCCTCGAGTCCCAAAAGCAAGCCCGCAAGGACCGCACCAAGCTCGAGGCCCTCGTCGACTCCAAGCTCGAGCTCACCCACCACGACCTCCTCTCCAAGCCGTCCGCCTCCGGCGCCGCACACGCCCCCTTCCGCTACCGCGAGACATCACCGCAGTCCTTCGGCATGACCGCCCGCGACATCCTCCTCGCCCCCTCGGACAGCGCCCTCAACGACTTCGCCGGCCTCAAGAAGCTCGCCACCTTCCGCGACGAGGAGAAGAAGCGCCGCGACCGCAAGAGGCTCAACAAGAAGGCCCGCCTCAGGCAGTGGCGCCGCGACACCTTCGGCCGCGAGTTTGAGCAGTCGGGCCCCACCTACGGGTTCGAGAAGTTCGCCGCCGAGGCCGAGGCGGCCGGTGAGGCGAGGCTCGTGGCCCCCGAGGCGAAGAAGGAGAGCAGTAGCAGCATTGTCGGCGAGGTGGGCGAGTCGAAAAAGAAGAGGAAGAGGTCCAAGGGGAAGAAGAAGGGCGACGCAGAGGCCGCCGAGGCGTAAAGGAGCAAAAAAGGAAAAGGGGGGAAAACTGGAAACTTGTCTTGATAGTGAG